TTGCACCAGAGATAAGACTATGTTGTTGCAATGGTCCCTCTTGAAAATAAAAAAACCCATGAGCCTGTGACAGCCATTGAGTCTGGATGTTTGTGATGCTGTGGAGGAACAGACTGAGATCCCATAAGTGGTAGATTTAAAACTGGCAACAATTTTCATAAAGGAGACTACCAAATTACAGAGACGCATTCTGCAGAAGTGGACACCCTGCCAATCCTGCAGCTGATATAATGTACCGTGATGAATTAGTGAGCTCAGAAAGAATTAACCCATCAATAAAATGACAGACTTGGTACATTTCAAAGCATCTGCTCAGATCTCATGGATTTTTTTTGGCTGCTACATGTTCAGTCAGAGAGAAAGAAATAGTGGGGTGAGCCCATGATCACCTTGTAGTCTCTCACTGGATGCCTCAGAAGAGCAGATGGGGATAGTGAGCAGTGGATAAGGTAAGCCTTTACCTACCTGGGGGTTTGTATGGACCCTTTCCTGGACTGACTCCTCTTAAATGTCCTTATAGATCTATATAAAATGTTTTCTTTTTCTTGTCTGCTTACAATTTATAGTTAGCTAAATTTAATAAATAACATTTTTTTCTGTGTGCTTGGGTGAACACCTTCTAGAGTTGCCAGAGTTTAAGTACTCTGTGAAAAGCAACCCCCTTTAAATAGTCTTATGTTGCCTATCTAGAAATTGAGGCATCCAGAATCTCTAGTGAGTCCTCAAAGTCTGTGTTGCTGCATTTGATTTTATTTTTCTTTTCATGTCTACTTTGTGTGTTTTGAATGGTTCATAACCATAAAGATTAGAAAAAATTCCAGCCAAGTAAGACTTGTTTTGAGGAAAAAAAAAAGAAAAAAAATTATAGGGGATAAAACCCCGTAGTGGCTAGATCCAAACTGATCGCAAGCTTGTTTGTTCATCTTTAAGGTGCATTTACTTATTTCAATTCAATCTTTATTTCTGTTCTGCCACAGACTTGATGTCTAGCAATGTACGCTGTTCATGTTTAAAAACAGAATTCACCTTTAAATGTGCTTAGACTGGAAAAAATATGCCTGGTGAGGTCATTTGCGGAGCAAGAGTTAATGCATCATGCAAACAGCTAAATAAAGGTTACAATCTGAGTGGAATTATTCAGAGCTCAGGGAGAAATCTGGCATTTACAGTCTGTCACTGGCTTGGAGAAGTCTGGCTCTCTCGGTGTCACTGCCACCCGGAGATATCCTACTTTCTGTGTGGCAGTAAGGGAGGGGACTGCAGCGCTGGATGGTCTTCCTGTAAAACCAGCAAAAACAGGAGCAGTGGGAAGAGTCAAGTGTGAGGAATGTGTGGAATGAGGGGTGAGTATGAGCCCGCTTTTGTCCAGGTTTCACAGAGCGAGGTTATGGGTGTAAATAGCTGCTCTTCCTCCTCTCTTTTCAGGGCAACTGAAGAGCCAATGTCAGGACAGCGTGTGACCCCTGGTATCTCTGGGGAGGAGAGCTGCATGGAGGGCTATGAAGAGCCATGTGCCTCTTGAGACCTGTCAGTTAAGTACTGCCATTTTTGGGCCCTATCTGGTAAGGGCTCCCTGCCTTTCTTTTCCACCAACATCCTTGGGAGTTGAGGGTGTCACTTTGGGGTAGGATACACCCTAAATATGTATGTGGTACAGCCAGAATAAAAACACATCACTTGCAAACGCCTGGGCTTTTTTAGAGTTGGCAATCTCCGCAGAGGTGTTGTGCTGATATTGTGTTTAGCGTTTTGTTTCCTTGTTTTGTTTCTATAAGCTAAGTGCTTGGCTGATTGCGCAGGAAATCAACTGCTATGGGCATTCACTTCAATGGGCAAAATTTAAACGAGCCACCAGGGACTGGCTGCTGCTGAGTTCAAAGAGAAAGAGACATCCAAAACCTCCAGCCAAGCCAAGTTATGGTGGGAAATATCAGATACAAAGAGGAGAAAACTGGGAGGCACGGTAGGGTGAAAGAAAGATACAGCTTGCTTTTCCTGTCCATAATTGGTCAGATTAAGGCGAGGCTGGAATGGAAATTTAAAAAAAAAAAAATCCATATAATTTTGCTGAGGAAAGTGTGTCGAACATCAGGAAACATGCTTTGGTGTTTATGTTCTGTGAGCTGTGTGCAATAATCTGTGGATAGAAACACATTGAGAAAGTTAATATGGTATATGGTACTTGACAAAATATTGGGAAATGTATTCAAAAGAATGGTTCTGTGCAGGGCAGAAGGCGGAGCCCTGCTGTGCTCCTCCATTCATTCCTCCTTTTTACTTTCCCCAGTGATTTCAGAAGTCTCCCCAGGCTCAGGTAACTCAAAGATAACTCAAACTCCTGTATTCCCAGGTGAGGTAAAGAGGATGTGTTCATAGAAATAATAAAAAAAGAGGAAGATAGAGGGGCAAGAAACAGGGAAGGAGCAGAAGTCTAAACTTGGGTATCGCTTTCTGCCAGCACACACGTGAGCAGCAGAGGCTCACGAAAAGAAGACTAGGGTAAGATTGCCATCTTCTGGAAGGATAAATATCTGCCATTATTCAGAATCCTAAATCTGATATATGTATATTTTTGAAACCATAGACTATTTCTGATAAATTGATTTTTAAATCTGAATTTTTATCCATATAAATCTAATTCAGTTCCATTTCATCAATATATATGCTTTGATCCCAGCTTTAGAAACTGACATAGCATCTTGGATTTCAATAAGACTCTCATCAGCCCTAAAATTAGGAGCATGTTAACATCAAGGATTATGAGTAGAGAGATGGACTTTATTTATTCTTGAGCCTGAAAAACAGACTTTTTTTTTTTACTGAGCATTTAGAAGGCAAACCTAAGGTGTCCAGATGCGAAGAGACTGAGCAATGAAAAAAAATAAAAATTACCACCCTCCTTTTAAGCAGTATCAGCTATTCTACCTATTTCAGTAAATTAAGTACATCTGTGTCAAACAGAACCTTGCTATTAATCAAAAAACCTGCAGACAGTCCATGGAGCTCAGAAACATTCAGCATTGCTTTCAGTTAGCCTGTCTTAGAAATGATTATCTATATTAGAGGAGTTTATGCAGTGACTAGGATTAAAATAACCGCAGAACTACTGACCGTTCTGCTGAGGGCAGGAAGGGCCAGGAGCCCCAGACAGCACAGCCCAGGTGCCCTCTTGTGACAGTTTGTCCTCATGAGAGGTCATGCCATTCTTACATTTCACTGTGCTGATACCAAATGAGGTGTATCAACACCCTCAGGTATTGTGGGAGCTTTTAAAATTTCAGGACAAGAGCTCAGAGGGGACTTTGAGTGAGTGTGAATCTCTCTGTCTCTCCTTACTAGCTTCCCAAATTCACCTGATGTGAAGCTGCTGGGAGCTGGGATTCTTGGTGAACTTGGTGCCTTGGTAAAGGCTGCCACTATGAGGGACATTGACAGTCTTCCCCGTGCTCCTCTACTTTGCATGCTGGACTTCTTTGACTCGCAGTGTTTCACATACCTCCGTCACGGTGGTGATGCTGTGGTGCCAGTCTGCCACTCAGCAGCACTTCTGTTAAGGGGCTCCTTTTGTCTTCAATATCTCCAGTGCCCATGGGGAGAGCTGGGTTAGCATCTCTTCAGGGTCTGAAATCCTCAGTCCTCAGAGCAGATGCAGTCACATAAACTTCCCTCTCCCCATTTATTTCTTCTCCCCTTTCTGCAATTGGCAGATCTGGCCAGAAAGGTGTCCCAGGGTTGGGGGACTTGTGGCCTTTGCCATTCTGCTGAGACACTGCACAGGGCAAGGTGTGACCTGACAGGGTGCTGGTAGTTTCTCAGCTAAGGTCTCTTGTTTTCTGAAGCATTGGCCAGAGAGCTGCCAGCTCGCTCCGTACAAGCCCCCAAAGAGCCACCACATGGAGATGGCTGGGACCTTTCTGTGTTTTATGGAAACTTTCTACTCAGTCAATACAGGTCACCCTTCTGCACTTAATCCCAGCCCGCAGCACCAATCGCTTCCCATATAATCTCCCCGAGCAGCTGTGCTGTGATTGCATTGTGGATTACCAAATGACCATTTTCTGCAAAACAGCTGCTGGCTGGAGGGATAGCATTTAATAATCATGGGGGAGGGGGGCAAAGGAGGAGGGGAGGAGGCAAAGGAGAAAGGGGTTTTGAAGCAATTGGGTTTCTTGAAGGATCCAGAGATGAGCAAAGCAGCAGACAAAGCGTGAGTCCTGTTTCTGTATTGCCCCTCCAAATCAACAGGACTTCGAGGACTCGCTGCCAAGGTAAATTCAACTCTCCTTCCTTTTGGGGGTGTGTAGATACTATGGTCAGTTATTGTCAGTAAGTGTTTGGCTTTTATGGAGGGAAACTTCTCTGACTATGTTCTCATGATGCAGTAGTTCAGATTTACTTCTTATTCTCTTCATCCTCTGCATCCTTGATCCAGTTTCTTCTTCTGACTCATTTGTTTCTTATATTTTTTGTCTTTTTCCTTATCATTTGTTCTGAAATTATATGGCTTTTCAGCTACTACCACAAATCAAGTGGAGAGAATATTTTTCCCACTATTGAAGATTTAAATTAGAAAAAATTCTTTTTGTCAATATTATGAGTGGAAAGGTATTTTTTTTAATAAAAGCATGAGTAAACTGAAATCTGATGACAGAAAATCTTATAATGAAGCATTGACGAAAAACTGAAAACCATAGTGTGCTGAAGGTTTCTATTTTCAGATGAAAAATCATGTTGAGGAGAGGAATTTTATCTATAATTTCCTTTTCAGTCAAAAGCCAAATTTTCCACTGAAAAAACTCTCAGTGAGGAATTTGTCACCAACCTTAGCCAGAAACCTTCATGTAATTAGGTGGTCCTAGTAGGTATCTGCTTTGTGAAAATGGTGATACCCAACATGCCTTCAGATCATGGAAGACATTAATTAGGGTATCACTAAGATGTTACCCTCTCCAGGGTAACATCAACATCTCCGTTGATGAAGGAAAAAAATGCTCTGCAGCATCTCCGTTGATGAAGGAAAAAAATGCTCTGGTGAAGAGACAAAAGAAGCCAGAGCACAAAACAATACAGGAATTTTTCAGGAGCTGAATATTTTCTTGCCTTTGATGAGAGCATTCTGGACCAGGCACCATTTTCTTAGTGTGATGAGATGCTAATGAAGTTCTGCTTTCCAGAAGGTGCTTCAGCACCGTCTTTGTTGACCACATTTCCAAGCATGCTGGTTAGCAGAACAAATGCTTCTAACTGCACCACTTTTAGCTGTGGTGCAGCCACAAACAATGCAAAGCAAAGTCTCATACCGTTTATTTATAGTAGTGTCCACAGTGTGCTGGGCCTTTCTCACACGTTCAACATTGGGTGAGTCAACCAAAGTTATGTGAAGAGGACCGGCAGCAGGCAATGTCTGTACAAACTGAATCTATTCACGGGCAAATAGATTTTTGAGAGTCATAAATAGGAAAGGGTGGGAGTATCTGGATGAAATTGTGCCAAACATAGGGAGTGCCATGTGGGAAGAGGCATGCGTTGATTACATGAAAGTTGATGTGTGGGTAGATGACATCTAATCAATCCATGGAGTGATAAGTTGGGGTTCTCAGAAGTCAGTGCAGGGTTTTGCAGGAACCGTAAAATCTTAAGCTTCCCTCTGAGTGAGAAAGACCACAGGACCCTGGTGCACAAACTGCTTTCTGAATTACTTTATCTGATGGGATGAAACTGGGAAGAGTGTTTGTGGCAATGTTCGCTCTTAAAAAAAACCATTTTGGCACCTTGTGTGAGAGCAGAGACACTGTCATCCCACCACCCTACAGAATTTCTGCTGTGCCGAGCAGTGCTTGCACAGGTGGGAGGTGCTGCTCTGGGGCTTGAACTCTTGCTGCCAGGTCTGGATAGCTGAGTAGCTGGGTGTCCCTCCTGAGCAGGTCACTGCTTTGATGTGTGACCTTCAGTGATCTGGGAACATCTTCCTGCCTTTCCCCACTGTGAAATCAATGCACTCCCTACCTCCCTAGGTTCAGTAATGAAGTGCTTGAAAAAGTATTTTGGGACACTTGGCAGCAAGAATTCTCATCTAGTCGGACCCAACATTCATCGTGCCCCATCTAAAGGTAACACATGGTATTTGGGGAAGTTGGTTAACAGTTTTTCCCTACCACCTCTCAGTGGTATGTCCCTTTGATTTTGCTCATGTGGTCATGCACCCTGATGCACTTGTTCCTGGTGTGTCTACTGGGTCACCCCTCTCTTCCCCAGTACAGATATTCCTTGTACTTTGAAATGGTTGAAGCTGACCTATTGGTCTACCACCCTGGCTTTCAGGAAATGGTTCTTCTGTGCTGAGTGAGTTCTTGGGATGTTGTGAGGAGGGCAGAGTGCTCATATTCCCTCCCCGCAGGTGCGCTCTGGGAAGAGCTGAGATTCATAAGGCTAGGTGGGACAAGTGGCTGGTATGACAGTCCCTCCCATTTGTGTGTTGTAGATGGAGCTGCTGAAGGGATTTCCATTGCGACGTGCTTTCCTGGCTGTCATCCTGAACCTGCTGGCTCTCAGCCTTTCCACCACTGCCTTGCTTGGCAGCTACTGGTGCACCGGGACCCAAAAAGTGCCCAAGCCTCTGTGTGGGAAGAGCAAAGCCACCAAGTGCATTGGTGTCCCCATGCCGTCTGACGCAGGTGCTAGCAATGTTTCATCCCAGGAGGAGGTGCATTACAGCTGGGAGACTGGAGATGACCGCTTTGCCTTCAGATACTTCCACACTGGGATGTGGCTTTCCTGTGAAGAGAGCATGGAAGGGCCAGGTAGCATCTTGTCCAGGCAGCCACAACTTCTTCCCTTTTATTTACTCCACAGGAGTTTGGAAATGAAAGGTGTCAGGCTGACAACACTTGGGAGAAAAGCCTTCTTCATTTTCGTAGATGGCGTCAACCTTGTGCACTGCTGTGGTCATTATATTTCTGTCCTTCGTTGGGATGTTTACACAGAGGGGGGCAAGGGAGAATGGCTGTCTCTGTTGTGCCCTTCAGTCTGGAACAGGGGCTGTGAAGTGCAAGAGGTGGTGGCAGTGACTTTGTGATGGCATCGCCCATCCTGATGTGAACTGGAGTGAGCCTCCTTTCCCTTTCCCCATATCTCCATTCCTACGCACGGCTTACTTGATGCTCTTCAGGGCACATTTGGGCAGGTCCCCTCAGAAATCTCAGCAGGACCATTTAAGGCAGTGTTGTTGATTTATAGTTATCACTGTGAGGACTGCAATAGTTGGTGTTCTCTTTAAATCACCAAACTGAGGGGTTTTGTGAATTGAACAGGGACTGGGCTTTTCTTAAAAAACAAACAAACAAAAAGAATAAAAAGAGAAAGAGAAGTACCACCTTATAGATGCAGAGAAAACCTGGAGATGTGAACCCAGAGGACCTGAAGCTAGGAGGCAAATTGACCTGAGAATTAGAGCTGCAATCTCATAATTTTTTTGTTGTTTTTGTGATATTGTGGCAGGTTTAATTTGTGATTTTTGACCATATGAGACTGGCACTGTAAACTCTGGAGTGCCAGAGGCTGGTTGTGCAACCTGTCCTAGACCCCTTTGGTTCTTCCCTTCACCCTTGACTTGCTTCTGCCCAGCCCTGCTGAAGTCCTTCTGCCAAAACCTGTGCCACACCAGAACAGGTGGATGCTCTGCAGTGCACAGATGCTTTTTACTTCCTGGCACACACATCAAGGAACAGAACTGACCCAGAAAGTGGCCAACAGGGAGACTTGTATCTAAAGATACAGTGATGAAAATGACTTTCATCAGGCCCGTTCCCCTCATCCCACCACCCTCCCTTCAGGTCTTCCCAAGCACAAACATCTCACCTTTAACGAAGTTCTAGTATAGCATTTCTCATTTTCTTATCTGTTGCTGTCAGAGTTTGAAAATAAAGAACTGGTGAATAAAAGCAGACTGAAGGGGGGCGGGAGCAGGAGGGAATGTGCTTGAAACTCCCATGTCCTAATGAGAGGTCTGCTTCGTTATAAGCATTTCCAGACATGCTGCGGAAGGAGAAGTGTTTATTTGGGACTGGTTTGCGTTGGGGTGTGTTTCCATGGTGCTTGTGGGAATGGGACTACATTCTTTGACAGCTTTCTCTGAAAGACTTGTCTGGCCACCGAGCAGTCCCTGAATAACCCCGATGCCTGAAGGAACGCAGAGAGCACGTTACATCTGGATCACAGCAGAGCACAGGGTAGAGCCCATAGTCAATCTCAGTCCCTTGCTTCCTGTAAATTGAGTACAACCCACCCACTGCTGTGGATATTTGAAGCAAGTGCATAGACAACAACAACAAAAAAGGGGCTACTATAAGCAAAAGGAGTTTGAGTTGAGCTGGAGAAAGGATTTCATTATTCAGACTAATCTCAGGATCAGTTTAGATGAGCCATTACTGAATAACCTCATTAAAGTTCTAGGTGAAGTAGCAAACCACAAGTTAATGAGAACTACAGATGGCACTAAGCTGGGTAGTGTCCTGAGAGCTGTGGATGACAGAAGTAATTCAGGAGATTGGGAGAGATTAGAACTGGGGATAGAAATTAAGAAAATGAGATTCTTACATGAAAAGCAGCAGGCTGATACTTCTGGGAGAAAGTACTGTGCCAAGTAGAGGAGAGAATCCTCAAATGCAGTGATGCAGTATGCAGTAAGAGAGATTTACAGATAATAATGATGGACCCTCAGCTGAGACAATAGTTTGCATCTGGCCAACATAAAGAGCCAAAGCAAATATAAACACCATTTGTCCAAATAGCATGCCTAAAATGTGAGGACAGAAGACCATATTTCTGTGTGATTCTCTGTCACAGAAGAGGGACTCACGTCTCTGTCACACAGCATTTCACTTGGGAAGATTTTTATTATTTTGTTTCTTTCTTCTTTGGGAAGCAGTGTTAGAACTCTCTGCTGAGACTGTGGTGAGTGGGAATTCATGTCCTCAGCAGAAGTGGTAGGGCTTCAGTCTGTTATAAGATACACCCTTAATAGGCCTGACCAATGGTAATGTTGTGAAAGAGTAGCAACAGATTCTTATAATCACCAGACGCTTGTAAGGTTTAAAAATTGATGACTTTTTTTCCTGGAAAGGCCACTTCTAGTTTTCCAGGCAAACATTGCCTTCCCCTGGTGAATATATGGAAATATGGTCAGAAAGAGAGCAGAGGTGAGAAGATATGATGGGTAGACTCAGGAATGACTGGAGCTGTGCAGTGAAAAGAGAGTGAGAGGAAGAGATTTTCTGTTCCTTTGTGTACTCTGAATTGTTTTGTAAACTAATACCTTTGGTTTTGTGTTTCAGAGGAGAAATGCCGTAGCTTTATTGAGCTTTCACCACCAGCAGAGAGAGGTAAGAGCAAATCCCCATACCTCACTGTAGCTGCCCAGTGCACCTCCTTGGGATGGGAGACCTGCAACATTTCACCCGTGTGAGGACAGCAGGGTGGGTCCCCAAAGAGCCAGCCATGAAATCCTGGCCTTATGTTGCTAAAAGAGCAAAGATTTCCTCCCAGATGTTTGCCTAAACCACTGCCATCTGTGAGGTCGGTGCTGGAAAACTCGGGCCCCCTCCCATGTGTAGTGGGATTTGCCTCATCTAATAAATTTCCCTGTTTGAGCTTGTCATCTTGCTGTAGTCAGCGGGAAGGGGACGGATGCCACCTTCCACATATTCTACATGTTGACTCAGTGCTTCAGTTTTGGGGTCTACCGAGATGATTCTGGAAGCTGAATCTCCTCTTACTTTGTAGTAAGTGATCAGGACATCTGAAAATTACACTTTCAGGGTGAAGTCCAAACTTCATTTGGATTGGAGAGCTCAGCCCTCCTGTCATTGTCACATGTTTCAAATTATCCTGGGGATAACTTCAATACACTTGGATGTATGTGTACATATGCAATAGAGATTTTACTTACTAAAAGCTTTTCATTTGTTGTGGGCTTGCTAACCATTCCCTGAGATGGAGGCTGGAGGCAAGTCATTTCAGAGGATGTTCGTATGTGAAGGGAAAGACCTGGGGCAGAGCCTGTGTCAGCGTTCAAGCTGTGAGAGCAAGGGCTGGAACAAACGCTGGGGAATCACAACAGCCAGTGGGGAGATGAGTACTTTTGGGGAGCCCGTCTTATTTTTCTGCCTTGTTTCCCCTATTTTCAAAACGCTGGCAAAAACCGCTGACCTGCTTTTATAATGTGATGTGTATTCCCAGGTGAGGGGGCCGGTGCGAGGGGCCTGCAGTGGCATCGCTGTGCAGATTAACCTCAGTCACTCTCGGCGCAACAGCAGGGCAGAGAAACCCCCCCTGCTTACTCTTTTGGGAAACAATATTCACACAATTCAAATAATGGTGGCGTTATGAGACAATTTGGAAGTCATGCAGATCTCCATGTTGTCATAAAATGAGTGACTTAACTACATTTACTGAATGACACTCGAATTTACCACAAAACGCTCACTTCACAGGGAGTAGCAATGTATTTTTCTGCTTTCTCACCTTCTTGTGCTTCATTCCCTCCCAGGCCTCTGGCTCTGTTTTTTCCACTGTCTTCCTTATAGATGTTTTCCTAAGAAAAGAGGTTTATGCAACCAGATTATGTGCCTTTGTAAATCTTTCTGTCTGTCCCCCCTCACACTCCTCCTACTGCTCCTTGTGTAATTACAGCCCAATATTAATAGGAAGGCCATGTTCCGTAAGACCTTGAGCTCCTACAAATTAATTGGAAGATCACTGTGAGCTTAAGCATGGCACTCGTAGTCACAATGTGCTCTTAACAGCTCTATCACCCCCTTTGGCCCCTTCCTGCACGTAGCATCATCTTAAGATGACCTTGGCCTCCAGGGCAGCTGCCATTATGTAGTGGGGCCAGCACTGGAGAAGGTGGTGTGACTGCTGGTTGGAGGCTGGGCTGGCTGAGCTGGGTGTCTGCAGAGCAGCTCCACGTTACAGGAGCAGATTACATATAATGAGTGGTGAGCCTGGACTCCCAGGGGAAGTGATGCAGAGACCTCTGTGCATGTGTGGTGCCTGCAGCCCCCAGGACATTTTTGGCACTCTGAGCTCTAATGACATAGTCTCCCCGAGGGTGCTGCAGCAAGCAAGGCAGCTCCTTTAAGCAAAGAATGGGGCTCATCAATTCCTGCTAAGGAGCTCGGTGACTCTATGGCACTAATGACATTGAGAAGTCAAGTCAGTGCCACATTAATGAGGGTTTTCCTCACACTCCTTTTCCCCATTTGAACGTCTCCTCTATGGCCATTAATAGTTGCTAACAGTAGTGTTCACAGTGCTGCTTCATTTGTCAGATTAATATTTCTTCCTCAATGAATCCCGTGCTCTTCCACAGCCCAGCATTACAGAGTGCCATTTCTCATTCTCCTCCAATTCCTACTGCTCAGGCACCTCAGCTGAGGACTGTGGTATCACTTGATTCCCACTAATAATCCCAGCATGAAAGTACCTGTACCCTGTTCAAGCAGCAAGGTGAGCGGTGAATGTTACTGCACGAGCTGGGTATCCACCCCAAGGAATGTAGGCCTGAATTCCAGAAGTAGGTCCCAGCCACTGCCATAGACAAGCCATACAGTTCTTTCTTAACCCGTTGAGTCCTAGGTTAAAAGTCGTTTGCTTCCATTGTTGTGATTAGAAACCTACTCTGAAATCACTATGCTAATAGGTAAGAACCTTCCAACATCCAGCTCAAATGTGTTTATGGCCAACTTATCATCACTAGGTCTTGTGCTAATACTGAACAGCTTTCCCCCTGCCTTTTCCCTCCATGGTTTCTTCCTTGCTGTTTATGAATAACACTGGCTTGTTTACAGGCAGCTATTTTAGTTCCTCTCAGCTTTTGCAGTGCCATCTTCTGAGACAGACTTTCTGTCCCCTTCAGCATCCTTTGAGCCCTTGCTCACAGGCTGCGGGGGGGAATGCTTTTGGGTGTTCGTTGTTTTCCTTCTTTCCAAAGGACATCCTTTCAGGATTGGCTTGGGAAGAGACAGTACTCTCCCTTGAACAAGCCATCTTGTATTGATGTGAGGAGTCTCTGATTTCTGGCAGGAATCCTGTGGCTGTCACTGGGATCGGAGATGCTGTACATCAGCTTGCTGCTCATCAGCTTCATCCTCATGATGGTGGAAATGCTGCATACGGGCAATCCTGTCTGTGGGTTGAAACTCAATGCCTTTGCTGCTGTCTCCTCGGTGTTGTCAGGTAAGTGTGTTACTGCAGGCTTGGAATCACAGCAGCAGGAGAGCCTCCTCTCTGCTGAAGTATGCTGCTCTAGCTCCTGCTCTAACTTCTTTGCTTTTTTGTCTTTCGTGTCCAGGTCTCCTTGGGATGGTAGCACACATGATGTATACTCAAGTCTTCCAGGCAACGGTTAGTCTGGGACCAGAGGACTGGAGACCGCACTCATGGGACTATGGCTGGGCATACTAGTACGTGAGCTCTGAAGCCATCCTCACCTCCCCAGCCTTTTGGGGTTCAGCCATGTTCCACCCCACCAAAACCCACGTCCTCCCTTCTTGACTGTGTTTCCAAAGACAGGTGTACCATGGTTCTCCCACTGCTAATCTCCTGTCTTTGCCTCATCCCCTTCTTTGACAAGTAGTTGCAGAATTACTTAAATTAGTAGCCACGAAATGGCAGACAATGGGATCACACCTACACAAGTACCTTCAACCCTGCTGACTAATCGGGTTGGCCCCTACCCTGGTTTGCCCTGTTTGGGCTCAGCTCTTCCCTGTGTGCAGAGGCCAGTGTCACACCTGTGATGATGCTCTTAAACATGCCTCCTTTTTCTGCACTTTAAGTAAGTTGCGTTCTGGTTTGTCATCTTCACTAACCAATGTCCAAGGGGCCTACTCCTGTAGCACCAAAGCCTAGACAGATACTTAAAAGTGTGGGCACTGTAGCCAGGAAAAGCAGCTGCAAAAAGCAGGCGGCTCAGGGCTCCTTTCTCTAACGGCTAAAGAAGCTGACTGCAGCTGATAGACCATAACTGACTTGAAAAACAGTTGGATGAGTCTTGCCAATGCCCATGGAAAGCGCAGGCTCAACTGGCAATGCTGTACTGATGATGACCACATTGATTCTTAAGACTTAAACATTCCAGTGCCATGTGCCAGCTGTGTGCATCAGATGTCAGCACAGCCATCTGGTTATGCTCATGGACATGCCTCACGTCCCAGAAGACACTAAGCAGCCCTGCAACACAGAACTTGCTTCCAAGCTGTTCTGTCCTGCTCTGATCCGTTATAGACGTTTTCACTGCCCTTTTTATTTTCCCTGTACCCCTCCCTTCCCTGTGACCAGTATTTACCCCACCACTCTAACAAGGATCTTGTGGTGGGATAGCCTGGTAAATCGGGGTGCATCAATTCCTTACTCTACTTGGCTTCTCACGGCACATACTATTCTTGTGTCTCTCCCATAGCATGGCCTGGGCCTCCTTCACCTGCTGCATGGCCTCTGCTGTCACCACTCTCAACACCTACACCAAGACGGTGCTGGAGTTCAAAAGGAACCACATGAAGGGCTACAATGGGAGTTTCAAGGATCAACCTCAGCACCACCAGTGCTTCATACAGCAGCAAATAAGCAGCTACTATGAACCCCAGGCCAAGATCCTCCATTCAGTCTCTGAAGGAGTCGACTTCTACTCGGAGCTGCAGCAGAAAGTGCTACAGCGGGAACCAGAGCTGGAGCTGGACGAGGTTTTGGGACAGACGATCGGGGAGGATCACTGTTAGGGACGAGTGCCCAGGGACAGAGGTGTGGGGTTTGGGAGGCACAAGAGCTCTGAACCAAACACTAGCACCTCTGCTAGCAAGTTCTTGGGGAGCTCTTCCTTCCTCTTCCATTTGGGGAGGGAGAAGAGAAGGTGGGCATGGGGCCAGGGCAACAGCAGTGCCAACAGTAGCACGGTGGGTCCCTCTGATCACAGTTTGACGGGTGTCCTCAGCTGGGAAAGGTGTAACTGGAGGGACATGTTGTTGGTGCCAGCTGTCTCCAAGCTCTTTAAAACAGAGCTGAGACAGTTGTCCTAATCCTAGCACAATTGCACCAGGGAATAGATAACCAGTGCCATCCAGCTGACAAATTGCAGTGCTGGGCCTCTTTGGGTGGTGTCACATCGACCTTCCAGCAACCGTCCCGCTTCAGTGTTAATGGTGAATGGCATCGGTGCTTGTATTGATTGGCTGTAATCCTCTCTCAATACCCTATTTATTCTTCATTTCCAGGCCCAACCTCCTCTTCTCCCTGCCCCCAGAATAAAAGGGCTGCTGCAGCAGGAATGGGGGGTTCCTTTAAGACATCTGTCTCCTCCTCCTTCCAATCTGTAATGACTCCCACATGCTCCGTTCTTGCTTTCCCCCCAAAATCTCCCATTCTGAGGTACTTTCCTGCCTGTCTCTTTCTACTGTGCTTCTCCACAACTGCTAAGAATCTTTGGCTGGGCTTTTGCTTTTTTCTTGGTTTCTCTTCATCTGTCCCCTTTTCCTCATTGTAAAAATATCACAAACAATCCCCAAAATCAAGCAAACTCGTCATCTCTCAAAGGTGAAACACTGGTTTACATGACACACTGATGTTGTACACAGCATTTATTTGCTCCACTGCAGTTCACAGTTCAAATACATTTTCCCAACAATATACAGACAGACTCTTTACTCACAGTGGGGATGTGTGTGTGTCGGGCAGGGTGAATTCACAGTATGGAAGAGCTAACGTCACTGCACTTGAATATCACTTCTCTCAGGAAGAACCTCAGGAGAATAACTATTTCAGCCAACAGCCGCTTCACCTTTCCCAGCAAGGTGGTGGGGAGACAGGAGGGAAGGGGCACTCCTGTTTAATCCTCATATGTTACTGGTCCTCACACGTTTATAGAATAATATAATCATTTAGGTTGGAAAAGACCTTTAAGATCATCAATTCCAACCATTAATTCAGTCCCTGTTATGCAGCTGTATTAACTGACTATATATTATAAACACTAACCCCTGTCTGTAGGAAAATGCCAGGCCTAGAGCCATTGCTACAGTTGTGCTAATATATACAAAGCTATTTACACAAAAATACCATTAAACATATACAAACTGTTCACAGGCTCTGACATAAAGAGAACAGGGCCCAAGGACCAGCCTCGGAGCTTGCAGCTAATCCTGAAGGGCTATCCTGGAAGCTTGATATGGAGATGCAGGGAAGGAGAAGAGGGAGAGTGATGTAATAAGGAGAGGTGTCAAGAGCCTGGGACAACAAACCCATGGTAGATGTGCCCATCTGGAGGGAGAGCCAACGTTCTGCTATCACCTCACCACTCACAGGGAAGTGCGGGGAGGCTGAAGGGGCACTGACCAGCAGGAGGACAGAAGAGTCCACTGCAATTCTCACCTCACCCTGGCTCTGCCTAATGTCAAAGGTCAGATGTAGAAAAGCATACTGGCAAAACAGTTCCTGTGTTGTTGCCCTGCACTGTGGGGAGCTGCTGGGGCACCAAAGTGGTTCCTCTTTATATGGTCATTTCTGTTACAAGACAGTTCACGTAGATGCTCTGCAACTACAACACAGGAGACCGATGGCGCACTCAGAGGCACAGTTAAAAGTGTTAAACATCCTGTGAGCAAATGTGCCCTGGTGGTAGTCAGTTCCCTGCACACAGGGCTGGGCTGGCAAGGGAATGGTAAAGTTGAGCCCAGAATATGGGTAAAATGCATAGAAAAGCCTTCCAGTTCTGCCTCCATCTGAGCCTCCAAACCCTGAAGCAGTGGAGTGAAAATCAGCTTTGCTGTGACTGGATCTAGCGTAATCTTTACAGTGCCTGTGGGGATCTGCTGGGAATCTATTCCCAAAAGGGCTGTGATGCATTTGCAAAGGGGGACTCAGCCCATTGGACTGCAGTGTGACATTACAGTGACACTTCGGGTTCATAAAAAGCTTAGGGATGGATAGAAATAAGATGTGAACTTTTCGCTTCTACATCAGCCATATGAACCTGTCCTCATCTTGGGACTGGGGAAAGAAATACACAAGTGCAAGGGCTGGCAAATGCTGCGGGGACCATCTTTCTGCAGACCAGGTAATTCAGCCAGAGAACTAGTCTGTTTGTGAGTTTGGGGACAGAATGGAGAAGAGGGCTGAGAGCACAGGAAAGGTTGTAGACAAGACTAGTCCTGCAGGAACCAGACAGAGGCTTCTCTCCAAAAATGCAAAGATTAAAGCAGGTACACACTTTACCTACACCATTTGCCTTGAGTCATCATGGCCCACTCTAGGCCTACAGCTTATTTGACTGCCTGGGAATACTGTTTGGACACAAAAAGGAGTGCCTTAAATTTCATTCATAAATTAAACATACAAAAAATATACATATACTGTATAAATTGATACATATATATATAAAACCTGGTTTTATATATATATATGTATATAAATTCTAAATTCACATCTCTGTGTTACCTGGAAGGAAGCATGCAAGAATAGCATATGGAGGGGGAGATGCTGAACAGGGTTCCTCGGGTACAGGACAGGTCTGCCTAGGACTAACCTGCCTCTAGCAGCGTTCCCCAGAGAGCTGAAGAAAGGGGAAGTGCTTTTAGCCCCCATTCCCTCTACACAGCAGGTTTCCTGAAGATCCACAGAGCAGCTTCCCGTATTCTCCATACAGGCCACAGGTCCAACCAAAATCTGAGGAACCACCAGGCTAGAGCTGGAGAAGGAAAGGCAAACAAAAACTAAAGCCAAAACCTACTATCATCCAGTCTGGTAAAGAAAAGTGGTAAATCGCAGGTCAGCAACTGAACCTGAGCACCACTATATGGAGGACCCTTGTTTGCCCATGTCTAAACAAGTGGTCTCTGTCCCACCTCTCTGCTTCTGATCATCATCCCTGGTTCTTTCTAAGTCCACCCTCCTTGCCCAACTGCCAAAGTACAGCTGGGCCCCTCAGTCTGTCCAGCTTACGCCCGAAGGGGCAGCCAGTCATCTTCCAAACAGTCTTTTAGCATCCCAAAGACCACTAACTGTGTCTGTCGGGAAGAGATCAGATGTTTTCAAAGGCCTGGATTTCATTTGGGATTCCTGTACAATCTCACCTTTTGAGGAAAGTCAACAAATTTCAGTCGAGCAAGAAATCGCCTCACTTCTCCACGGCTGATTTTGGGACTCGTGGTGTCCTTTAGCCACACCATTCGACCTTGACTCATCATGGCCCACTTCAGGCCCAGTTTGCTGACCGAGAGGAATCCTGGCTGTTTTTCAGAGGTTGCAGTTGTTGTCACAGTGATGTGAAATGCATCCTTCTGGAGATCATTAATTCCAACTGGTGCATCAGAAAAAGGAAGGACAATATTGGTGAGGAGTAAATGATTACACTTCATCCAAAAGAAATCTCACAGTCTTTACTCAGCCAAAATATCCACTGGACTGAGGGTATATTCAGTCTGGCTTTACAATTGCATGTACCGTATTTAACTATGAAAAGTTATTTTAAGTTAAAAATTTTCCATGGAAATAAACAAACTGCAATTTAGATCAGAAATGGAAGGGTTTGGTTCCAGGTGATTTTTCTGAGCTTGAATAGCAGACGCACATATTTCTATAATGCAGATCACTTTCAGAAAGCTTTCCTTCATACACCTGTTTTACCTCTATAGAAGAGGAAATTGGTAAAGCATTGGCAAGTCAGTTCACTCCAGTCACTGCAGAATGATCTGTACAGACCTCAGAAATCCCAGCTTCTAATAAACCTCTCCAAAAATGATTTTCTATTTGTTCTTGACTGAACTGTGTTTTTGATACAAATCCAATTAGATGTATCACTATGTAGCGGCTTTTCTATGCTTCCTGGCCTACTTGACTCAGTGCTGGATGAACAGATCTTTTATCCCACATCCTGCCATGCTCAATAGGCTGACTGTTGGTTGAACTGCTTTCAGAAGAGCATGGAAATCCAACAGGGACTGTAAAATCTTGTATAGATGTTATATCCAGATCTAATTTTCCCTGAAAACACAAGTGTAACTATTTGGATTCCCCCTTTCAAAAAGAAAAGAGGAAGAAAAAGCACAGCTGCTACCCCAGAGAGCAGGAGAAGAGGGCCAACAAAGGCAGAAGTGTATCTGAGGTGACAGAGAAAAGTTTCATAGTGATTCTTCATGCACTGCCTTAAATCATAAATAGCTCCATGGAAAGCAAGGGAACTTCTCTGGGGCAAAACATGCATGAAATCAAACTTTGAAACTTGGTAGGCCTTTCATTTGCAAAGTAGGGGTTGGACAGGACCTTCCTTCAGAAGGAAGACTAATCTTATTTCCCACTGCTGGCCTACATATGGTGGACCTCAGGTGCTACCTTTAAAAGCACAACTACACCTCATAACTTCTCACAGGTACCTCTCCCTCCTTATTTCTTTTAGCCTAGGTAGTTTCTCCTCCATTTGTACTCACCTGCTGAAGCAATGACTTTGTCTGTTGCATTGGTGAGGTCCAAAAGAACTGTAGGGAAAACAGGATGGAGGAGATAGAGGTGGTGCAGCCCTGGGCGCTCAGGTCTGAGACCAGGTTGCTGTTGGAATAAAGGTCAGACAAAAATGTTACCGCTGGATGGCAAAGAGGAGTGTGGCTTTTCAAAGAAATAAAGAAGTTTTCTGACACTGTGCTGTCTTTACATGAATCAGAGAATCAAAACCTCTATGGTTCACACAGATGAAATCCTGCAAAGCTGTTTGTTTTTTTTTTCCTAAAGCAGA